TGCTCAGACACTGATTCAGTGATGGCTGGAAGATGTTGAGGTTCTGCTTGACAAGCATGAGCTCCTCCTCCTTGCAGAGTTGAAAGTTATCGCACTGTGGTGGGACAAAAAGTGAAGATATGATCAGGTGGGAGGGCAAAGCCCCATGACTGGAGTGCAGCTCACTGGGAGTCTGCATGGTTCTTCACAGTTTTTGCCATACCCCCCACCCCCTTCCTAAAGCTAGGCAAAGGAGCCACGCACAGAAGAAGGGACACCCAATGGTTAGGGCACTTGCTTTGGCTCTGGAGACACTGGTTGAGTCTCCTCGTTGGGCCTACAGAGTTCTAGGTCAGGTCATTTTGCCTCAGGGTAACAGCACTATTGCTTTAATACATGAAAGGCTGGAAGCAGCTTTAAAAGCTATAATAATAAGGGCCAGATAACTGCCCAAGACAGAAATCTTTCTAAAGATACACTAAACCTGTGTATGTTTAGCCAGATAATAGGGAAAGACCTCTTAGAGCCCAAAGGCAGTCATTTGGACAGGTCATAATCGTAATGGCCCATCACATTTCATTCAGAGACTTTAGTACTATTGCTCTGGCCCTCAAGTGATATAACCATGTCACACAGATGCATTGTAACTCCTGTTGCATAGATGGAAGATTGGCAACAGCTTCATGCAGTGAATAATAGAATTTAATGCCTTTTATCTAGAATTGTAATATTCTCTGGGTGGAATTGCAGCCAAGCTGACTCACTTTATACTGTATACCTGGCCTATGTGGGTTCTTGACTACAGCCCCAATCCTGCAGACCCTCAGGTGAGTAATTTGACTTACTGAAGTCAGTGGGCCATGTAGTGAGTAGTGTTTGCAGAGGTGGGGGTTGGGGGTCTCTTACCCAGGGAAAGCCTGACATTCTCCAGAGTTTTCAAGCTGCTTCCTGGTTGGCCCTTTCTTAGCTACGTGCAGTTGTCACTCACTTGCTGCCTCATTCCAGTGGCAACCCCTTCCATAAACAAAAAGGCCATAGCTGTGTGTACGTGGGAGACTTGCAATCTAAATAGCCTGCAGTCTCAAACAAAACCCTTTGCTCCCTCCAGAGCTTTCCCTACAGCATTTTCCGAGCAGTCTCTGTTCTGACTTCGGGGTTGGCCTTTCCTTTGGCACAGCCCTGAGAATGCCAGGAAAGGAGAGAGGAACACGACAGCAGAGATTAGCCGGTAGTGTCCTGCAAGACCTTGGAAACTGGATCAAAGCAAATAAATTCACTAACAACTCAGCTAAGAATACCTGCCCCAGAGTTTGAACTGCTGTGAGGCACTTGTTGTAATCTACAGGAAACACACCCCTTCAGATTCAGTGGGACAGAGGCCTCGCCAGTGCATGTCACTGGTCAAATCCAGTTGAATTTGGAATCGGCAGTTGTTGTTTTGAATAAGAACTGAGAAGTCTGATCTTGAAACCACATGATCCCCAGAGTAGTTCTGGACAGGACTACTTGTAGGAGGCTGGGGATGTGCCAAAGCTGTTAGAGAACCAAGCAAAAAGTCATGGGGAAGAGAGATTAATAATTCCCTCTGCTCAAAATCCTGCTATGCTAAGTGCAGCAGGCAGCAGCGGGGCTGTAGGAAGCAGGGAGGAGACCAAAGGGAAGTTGGACGGTTGCAGCTGGCAGTAGCTGAGCAGACAGCTTTTCCTCCTAAGCAGCTGGGAGGACCTCCAAGCCCTCTGAGCAGATGCTTGTTTGGGATAAGCATTAGCCTGGGTCACCTCCTGGAGGGGAAGGGACTCTTTTATCTCTAATGCTTGGTTTGGGGGAGGAGAAGGTACCTGCTTGTCTATTTTAGCGAGGCACTGGAAAATGGCTGAAGATTGGTTGATTCCTGGATCAGAAGGTCCCTTGTTAGTGACCCTGCCAGCTGGTGGGAGGGGGAGCTGGTCAGACTTTGACCCTGGGGGATGATCAGGCCAGCTCTCTGCTGAGTTATCTCCCAGCACAGTTTGTGCCTGCTGCTAATTTCACTTCCCCCAACACACCCTCTCTCTAGACTTATCAAGAGTTGGGACATAGCCATGGGGAAAGCCTGTTCTGTGTAGGATTGTCTGTCAATCTGTCCCTAAGCCTGGAGCTGAGATTGTCTGCTGAGGTGAAGCTTTTGGGAGCTGAAATGTCAGCTTGTTTAGAGGCAGGGAACTCCACTTTTGGAGCTGGAGACAAGACTGTGAACTTTGAGTTTCTGCACTTCTCATAGCCAAGTGCTTTCCAGGCTGCTGCTCTAAGGGAAGCAACTTCCTGTCAAGGTCACAGCAGCCCCCAGAAACTTGTCACATCACAAATCCCAGTAGCTAGCAGTGGGTGCATGTCTGTCTCCTCGTTAGATACCAGCAAGTCCCTGCATCTCTCTGCTCCCACCACTTCTCTTCCTTCAATTCTGGAGACCAATCTCGGGTTACATTTTATCACCTCTACACCAGCAGCCCCTGACTGCTCTTAGCACTTCTCTTCCTAGGTTGTCTAACTACTCACCATGTGCTGCCGCATGTTCTCAACATCCATTTTGATCTTGCGAGTGAATTCCAAGTTCTTCTGCAGAAACAGCTGGAATCCCTGGTCCCCTGAGAACTCCGACAGGGGAGCTGCATGCAGCACGATGTATTTCAAGCACAGCAGAGTGCTCAACAGCAAGGATGGAATAGCTGGAGGTGAGGGGAGGAGAGAAAAAGGCAACGTGAGTCAGGTAAGTGCTGAAGAATCCAGAGGTGCAGAATACAGAGATAGAAAAGTGATTTCACTGCTCATTCAGATGAGATCATGTCAGTATGACAGTAACAGCAGGCAGCCCCGAAAGAGATTGGATCCAATGTACCAGGTGCTGTACATCTACACAGGAAGAGACAGTTCCCACCCTGAAGAACCTTCAAGGGGAACTGTTCCCATTTAATGTTTCTAGCACATTCCTACTCAAGGATCTTAGTTTAACAAAATGCAGTTACATATCAAAGCTCTTTTAATTAAAATCACATCAGCCAGCTGGTTTAAATCCCCTCTATTTTCTGATGCTCAGAACTCCAAAAGTTTTTTGAGTGAAACACCCCTTCCTATGTATATTCAGAAGGTAATTCCTGCCTGTGTAAGCTGTGCATCTCTTAGCCTTTTTTTATCCTCACTGGCATAATTTTCCTGCTTGTAAATAGAAAAGGAAGGGGAAGGGAGAGAGAATTTTTTTTAAATCATTTAAAATCATAAAAACTATCCAAGCCTCCCCCAGAAGTCAACCCAGGAGTTGCTAGTCCCAAAAATAAACTTACCAGACCCCTTGCATATAGTAAATCCAAGCAGTTTGCAACTAGGAAATGGTGCCTATGATTTCTGTTGCTGTCGGGTGAAGAGCTTATACTTACTTCTCAGAGGATTCATTCTAGTGCCTGAAAGCCTTTCGGTATCTCCTCCCACTTGTTTTATGACGGTGCACTGGGAAAGGGTGCAAGACAGACGCAGGGCTGCACCAGTCCTTTTTGTTCGTGAATGCTGTGAGACTCCTATTGATTATGATATTTATAGAAGACTCAGGGAATTCACGCTGATGTAATAAGATGAGGCAATTATTACTAATCAGTGAATATGCAAATACATTTTTCTGAAAATAGCACATCAGGAATTTTAATTTGTGAGGATCATTTGTTTTTCATTTAGATTTTTCTTTAGCAAAAATTTTGTTATTTTGTAATTCCTCTGGGACAGCCCTGGACTGTTTTTTTTTTTTTTCTTTTTTCTTCTTTTCTTGTAGTGCCTGAGAGTTGCTCCCTTCTTTTGTGTAATCAGTCAATTCTTATTGCCGTTTCAGGCCACCCTAAAAAAGCTGCTCCCCAAAATATCAGCCACTTCCTTCATTCCCATCAAAAATTAATTTGGGAGACAAAATGATGTCTCAGAACTGATCAGGGTGTGGTTTGCTTACAAAATCTACTTCCCAACTTCAACTTAAGAGTTCTGACCTAGCAATAAAATGACACCCAACCAAATAAATGGGACTCAGTGGGATGCAGGTGCCTTTTAAGTGTTCCACCTGGCCTTCAGTATGTGTGTTTACTTACTTGCTGATTTAATTCCTGTTTTTTAGATTCTTTTTTATTACTGGGCTTGAATAGTGTGTGTCTTCTCAGGCAACTTGAGAATTGGGGATTTGTTAGTTTAGTGCTATCACCAGATCATGAAGGAGGAGGTGAAATAACCTTTATGTTGCGTTTTTCTTATTGCTTTAAACTTAAGCAGAACCAATGACACTCTTTCCTATGTCATGTGCTGCACCTACAATTACCTTTAGTTACCTGCCATTGTTTCCTGGTATATATCTCTGCCACAGATTTGGAGGCCTTCACTGTGGCATGCAGGCTGTGGATCTTACTAACTATCCCTATGAAGCACTTCCCTATGAAGTAGGTTTGTTATCCACAGACGGAGAAACTGAGGCATGGGACTCTCTAAGGTATTAATGATTTCACATGGCCTATTTAAAGTCCCTTATTATGGGGGCTGTGATTTTTCCCACAGTACTATGCATCTGGCTTCTGGAAAATCAGGCCCCTTTAAAACATCTCATTTTTTGTCTTCCAAATCCTGGAATCATTGCCTGGAGTCACAGGCTAAGTGTGCGGTAGCCCTGTTTCACCTCCCACCCTTGTTTGCGTAGACAGTGAGCTCTGGGGCAGAGGCTGTCTGTTGGTGCAAGTGACTCTCTGGCCCCATAGACATCAACGTGAGTCTTGCCACTGATCTCACACTCAGTTTCACTCTGTGTGGACCTGCTACACCTGGCACACTGTGGCCCCACTCTCAGCTTGGAGTGCTGTCATCTGGGTGCCACAGGGAACTGAACCATAGTTTCTCACGTTGCATGCCAGGGCCTTGAATGCCAATCACCCTCCTGTCCTGCTGCTGCTCAGATGGGGAATTGTCTCCTATGGGGAGAGACAGACACCCAAGTGCTCTTCAGTGATGTTACTCGTATCACACAAGAACCTGGTGGGCATGATCCTGACTTGAACTCCAAGAGATTGCCCTTGCACCAGCAATGCAATTATTTCCCAAACTGATGGATGTGGCTCTGATGTCAGTTTTTCCTAGAGCCTCAGGGTAATAATTCTGGCATGCTAATGGGGAAATCTCTATCTGCATTTCCAGGACTGGCTGCTTTTCCTGTATCAGCTGAGTGACTCCCAGAGGGGGAGGGGACCACATCTTTAGCCTCTGGGATTTACAGAGCAGGGGTGCAAGCACAGCCAACTGGTAGTGACAGCCGAGTCAGTTGGGTTCACCTGAAATGTCTTGGCACAGTTCCTTTAACCACAAACTCGGGACAGCCTTCCGAGGAACAAGGAAGTGGGATGCTGAGTAGGTTACTGAGCAGGTAACCTACATCAATGCATAGAAAGTAAAACTCATCTGACAACGTTGTAGCATGAGGATTGAAACTGGGATTATATTGCTGCTGTTCTGGCATGCACCCCTTGCTGTGCAGCAGGCAGGGAATACACTAGGGAGCCAGGAGCCCCATAGCTTCTAGTCTTGCTCCAGCACTAACTCCCCTGTGCAGTCTTGATCAACTCACTTGACCTTTCCAGGCTATGTGGGCTAAGAATATGGGTTCCCTGAACTTCAGTATGCCAAGGAAAGCACCCTTCATTTCCCATGCTTGTGCTTCACATTTATATATAAAATATATAGTGGCCCAGAGCATTGGATGCAGGCTGATTTACACCAGCTGTTGATCTGACCCTTTCTTTCTAGCCCTGGTGGGGACAAATGAGTGTGGAAAGGGAGGCAAGGGCTGAGGCAGCAGCACAATTTTGGGGGAAGGGAGCATAAAAATAGCCTCCATGCTGCTGGCCTGGCTGCTGCTACCACTGCCAGCAGCCTGGACTAGATGACTGGATTAGGGGGTAGATTAGATGACCTCATGAGGTCCCTTCTAGCCCTACTTTCTTATGATTTTCAGACTAACATGGCTGAGGTGATGCAGGTGCTAAAGGAAGCCTAGAGGATGCAAATTCAAGGCCATAGCAGCAGTGCTCGTGGTGCTGCCTGTCAGATTTCAATGAAATATGCAAGTTCTGTCACAAGGACACAGGAAAGGAAGATCTGAGACCCTCTTGTGCTAATTCTGTTGGAGATTCTGACTGCCAAATTATAGTCTAGTGGGCTGGGGTGGGGAGGCTGTGTCAGAAGCCAGGACCCCCATTCTCTGCTCAACTCCCTTTTCTTGATGTCCATCCTTGGGAAGTGGTGGCACCAGTGATGTTCAACAGAATGCAGGTGTTCATTAGGGACAACTTGCTTTGCTGTTCTGCAGTGATCTGATTAGCACCAGATCCCCAGACCAGCTCAGAAGTGTTCATCTCTCTGCTGAGGACCAGCGAGGCAGCACAGCACTGGGTCAGGCTCAAGAGGGTGATGATTTGCAGAGCTTTGGCATGGGGGATTTCACCTCCTGTGAATCTCTAAGCTTCCCTCAGGCCCCAGGTGGCTGGACTCCCTCTCTCCACAGTGTGGTTTTGAGCCATGAGGCCTAGCGGAGCTTTGAAAAGGAAAAGAAGGATGTTGTGAAATCCTTCCTCTGGCCATTGGACTTCGAAGCTCTTGAAGGTGTGCCCTGAAGCGGCTGCACAAGTTTCCTTGACACTAAAATGAAAGATCATGTGGGCTGGTTAGGGGAAGGCCAGTGGTGACGCAGAGTCAGGTCGCAGCACTGACCGCTTTCACTATTTGGGGATTTTAAGAAGAAAAAAATGAATCAGTAATGCAAACAGAGCAAGTAAACCCACATGTTCTTTCTGGGGAAGGAACTGCCCACATACCCAGGAAGGGCATGGATGGTGGAGGGGACACAGGGCAGCCATGATCCCAAGGCAAAGGAAAAGCGGAGTTTAGGTCAAATGCGACCTGTGTGCTGGGTAAGCACAATCCTTCTCTTGGTGTCACAGCGGGGTTCTAGCTTCCCTGGAAGGAAGCCTTCCTGCATCTGTGTTGAAGGAACAGATGGTGGGGATGGCTAACAAAGCAATGGGATAAGAGAGACCTTTGAGCCAGGATCCTTTGCCCCCAAGTGTGTGTTGGAAACAATACCCCCCAGTCTGTCCCTGCTGACCCACTCATCCTTGTGTGGGCCCAATCTTGTCCTGCCACTAATCATGCTGGCACCCTTACTGCAACCATGCTGCCAGCAAACCAGAGCCATGGACCTTTTGGGCACTCTTACACATGCTCCGGGGGGTGGGGGTTCTTTAATCAGAATGGCTCCAAGAACTACTTTAATTAAAGTACCGCTGTGTCTCCTATATCAGTGTCCCTGCACTTCAAAAGGGCAGTGTGGGCACTTGACCTAAAGCTCATTCAGTGGGGATGCTGATACACGAGACCTAGGAGGCCACTGGAGCTTGGCAATTGCTATACTCCAGTGGCCTTACTTAATCAAGTGTGCTCTGACGCACTGGAATTCCAGTGTGTTGGAGCAGCCTCCACAATCATGTATAGGCGCCCTTCGGTACCACCTGACATGGGCACACAGGGCCCTCCCATCAGGGTAAGAGGAAGCAGAACCTTAGTTTTACTCCATGTTCTGATCCTGGCAGTACATTTTGGGGGTCTGAGTCTCAGCTGAGTTGTCGCTGGTGATGGGGCATCTGTCTCCCAGAGGGATCATTCTGTGTCTAGAGGTCTCATTGATAAGGGAGGTTCTTCATGGCCCCAGCTGAAGTTTCCCTTTGTCTTGGGCCTATGCCTTCTGGGAGAGAGCTAGTCTGTCGGTGACTCCTCCTTGCACATGGGGTCTGGCAGCTGAGCAGAAATCTTGTGATCTTAACCCAAAAGACAGTAGACATTTGTGTCCTGGGCTGAGGTTGCATGGGAACCTGCAGGCCAGGGTCATCTTGGATCCTCTTTCTTGCTTCTCCTGATTTCCCTTGGTGTAGTGGAGGACAGGATGGAGCTCTCTGGGTGGAGATGAGCCTGGTTTAAGAAATCCTGGCTTCTCTCAGATTTTCCCATTGGGACAAGGCTCAGCTCTTTCAATTAGCTCCAGGCACTGCCCAATTGCAAGTGGAACTGCGTGTAGTGGAGATCACGCTCTGACAATGCAACTGCATCCAGTTGTGGTGGCACTTGGCTGGGTCTGTCCAAGCCTCTCTGGGAGGGAGAGGAAGGAGGATGTGGTGCTTAGGGCACTAGGCTGGAAGCCCAGTATCCCCTTCTCTTCTTTGCCCCCAGCTTCCTGTGTGACCCTGGGCAAATCGCTTGACCTGT